TCTTCCTCCAATCAGATCATCATGCTTGACTATAATGTATATAATGAATTATTTTAAGTGCTTTTAGTAATCCATGATATGTTTTATTTCCTTCTTTTCCTTTATTTTTTTGTAGATCAATTTTGAAAAAAAAATTAATATTATTTTTTAATATTTTTATATTATTAATATCTATGTGTCTCATATGTATATTTTAAATAAGTTCTCTCATGAAAAGGTTGGGAACATCTCTCTGTGTTATTAATTCTATTGCTGGTTTACCTTTTTATTCATTTTTAATGTTTATACATAATAGAATTATGATATCCGTTTCAATTTTGATTTGTGAAGTACTGTTGAAGGACTATATACCGTATGGACTTTTAAAAATGGAGATTTGGGAACTTCCGGTATCGCGTTATCGTCATGACGTCACGGCGCAAGGATGCAGAATACAGGCGCCGGACGGGTAGTGATGACAAGTACGGAAATAATAACCGGAAGTTATTGAGAAGGGAGCGCCAAAACACACATTTAAAAGAAGAATTGCGGAGAAGAATAGAATTACCACTTCTGAGGATGGCTTTAACGCCAAAACGCGTCAGGTGGCAAGAATTGGTGGACTTATCCTGCTTTTAAAATACTTTATACTTTATGTTCAATATGTGGCGAAACCGACCTCGCAACTGGGCATTGGAGAAGACTGATTGCCAGCCTCCTGCCATGTGACTATGGCCCCTGGGATGTATTGCCCCTCCCCCATTGTCCCAGGGACACTGCCAGACCAGTTGGAACTTGTTGCTATGGTTTAACCCCATGGCAATTTGACTGTGTTTGTGGTATCTGAGCGCTGTTCGGATATAGTGAGTGCTCAGATCCAGGCTATCTGGGGATAGGTTGAATGTGGGGGTTCTGTTAAGTATAATAGGAATTATGTATTTTTATGTGTTTTTACTGTTGTTGTGAATAGAGCTATTTTCTGTATGCTGAAGGTAATTGGCTTACCACACCCAAGCCATGCTTGCAGATGGTCACAAAGGGACTTCCAACTAACTTTTGACCCACTGGACCAATTTGTATGATTTTGACGTATGTTTGTATTTGGATTATATTGATTCTGAAAATGTAATGTAATGTTTTATGTGAATGTGATGTATACTTTTGGAGTTATGAATATTGTGCAAAACTGTGTATTTTCCTGCCTGTGATAATTAAGTTAGCCCATTGTGTTCAGTAATTATATCACAGGCAGAGGGGAGGATTTTGTGTGGGAGTGTCTGAGTGTATTGTATGTATTGATTTGTTGTACTTCAAAACCCTGTGGGCTGTACTATATTTGTACTAATGGGCATAAAAGCAGAGTGTGTGTAATTAAAAATCTGAGTTCTACTTCACCCTCAATTTGGAGTACCGTCTCTTATTGGGGGAATCTGTTACAAGGGATTGCTATGCTTGTCTTACTCCCTTGCTAAATCACTACTAAGCTCTTGTAAGAGCTTGTTCCTGCCTTGCTCTCTGGAGGAGTCTACGGTGGTTATGTTGTCGGCTGGGGTGCTTGGACCCCTAAGGAAGTGCTAGGAGCATCCTTCAACTGAGGTACCCAGTCGGGGTGCCAGGTGATCCGTTAAACAATAAAATCGTGTTTTTACCGTGATACTGCATCCTGGGTCTCTGAATGTACAACAATTGGCATGAACACGAGACATCCTGGGCACAGCAGATATCCAGCACTACAGCTGTTTTTCTCCGCTTTATGCTTCTAGTCTGAGTCAGCTTTTTAAGTGACTCCGTAACATGTGAGTTTGACCAATAATATGCTAATATGCGGTTTTAATATTAGTTTTTACTATATTACCCTATGGTCTTTTATATCATTTTTTAGAATTATATCCATGTTATAATTGGAAAACTTTATGCTTATTGAGTGCTCTCACCACCTTTTATTATTTCACTTTGTTTCACTTTTGTATGTGTTGAGTGATCCACATAGGTGATAGTAGCACCAGATTTCACAAGTTCCAACGATTGCATATTTTGTTTAAGATTGTTTACTTGTTGTTTTTCTTTTTTAAATATCCATCAAATACACATATACAATTGGAAGAAAAAGTATGTGAACCCTTTGGAATGATATGGATTTCTGCACAAATTGGTCATAAAATGTGATCTGATCATCATCTAAGTCACAACAATAGACAATCACATTCTGCTTAAACTAATAACACACAAAGAATGAAATGTTGCCATGTTTTTATTGAACACACCATGTAAACAGTCACAGTGCAGGTGGAAAAAGTATGTGAACCCTTGGATTTAATAACTGGTTGAACCTCCTCTGGCAGCAATAACTTCAACCAAACGTTTCCTGTAGTTGCAGATCAGACGTGCACAACGGTCAGGAGTAATTCTTGACCATTCCTCTTTACAGAACTGTTTCAGTTCAGCAATATTCTTGGGATGTCTGGTATGAATCGCTTTCTTGAGGTCATGCCACAGCATCTCAATCAGGTTGAGGTCAGGACTCTGACTGGGCCACTTCAGAAGGCGTATTTTCTTTTGTTTAAGCCATTCTGTTGTTGATTTACTTCTATGCTTTGGGTCATTGTCCTGTTGCAACACCCATCTTCTGTTGAGCTTCAGTTAGTAGACCAATGGCCTTAAGTTCTCCTGCAAAATGTCTTGATAAACTTGGGAATTCATTTTTCCTTCGATGATAGCAATCCGTCCAGGCCCTGATGCAGCAAAGCAGCCCCAAACCATGATGCCCCCACCACCATACTTCACAGTTGGGATGAGGTTTTGATGTTGGTGTGCTGTGCCTTTTTTTCACCACACATAGTGTTGTGTGTTTCTTCCAAACAACTCAACTTTGGTTTCATCTGTCCACAGAATACTTTGCCAGTACTGCTGTGGAACATCCAGGTGCTCTTGTGCAAACTGTAAACGTGCAGCAATGTTTTGTTTGGACAGCAGTGGCTTCCTCTGTGGTATCCTCCCATGAAATCCATTCTTGTTTAGTGTTTTACGTATTGTAGATTCGCTAACAGGGATGTTAGCATTTGCCAGTGACTTTTGTAAGTCTTTAGCTGACACTCTAGGATTCTTCTTCACCTCATTGAGCAGTCTGCGCTGTGCTCTTGCAGTCATCTTTACAGGACGGCCACTCCTAGGGAGAGTAGCAGCAGTGCTGAACTTTCTCCATTTATAGACAATTTGTCTTACCGTGGACTGATGAACAGCAAGGCTTTTGGAGATACTTTTATAACCCTTTCCAGCTTTATGCAAGTCAACAATTCTTAATCGTAGGTCTTCTGAGAGCTCTTTTGTGCGAGGCATCATTCACATCAGGCAATGCTTCTTGTGAAAAGCAAACCCAGAACTGGTGTGTTTTTTATCGGGCAGGGCAGCTGTAACCAACACCTCCAATCTAATATCATTAATTGGACTCCAGTTGGCTGACATCTCACTCCAATTAGCTCTTGGAGAGGTCATTAGTCTAGGGGTTCACATACTTTTTCCACCTGCACTGTTAATGTTTACATGGTGTGTTCAATAAAAACATGGCAACATTTCATTCTTTGTGTGTTATTAGTTTAAGTAGACTGTGATTATCTATTGTTGTGACTTTGATGATGATCAGATCACATTTTATGACCAATTTGTGCAGAAATCCATATCATTCCAAAGGGTTCACATACTTTTTCTTGCAACTGTATATTACTTTATTTTTGTAATTGTCTAATTTATTCTTTTATATTTATTCCCTAGTTATAGACCCTTTGGGTCTTTGGACACTGAATGATTTTAGTGATATGAAAACTTAGTACATATAAATGGACTAAATGGTGTGCTAAGGGAACTTCGTACAGGGGATAACCCACAATAGTAAGTATAACTCGAAAATTAACACAACAATGTCTAAATGAGCTCTAAAAGCCCACTTGACACAGGTCCCTTGTAATACATAAAAAAAAATATACAGAAAATGCACAACTTTACTGCAAAACAAAAAAAAAAAGCTTACATATCCAAAAACAATTAAAAGACCCAATAAAAAGCTAAATTGGCTAGAGAGCTAATGGAGAAGGGAGGGAGGTCAATCTTAACCCTACCTTAATGCTGCTTCTAATGCAACCTAGCATTTCTACCAAGAAACAAAAGCTACACTGAGAAATAAATAAATAGATACCAGCGGCACACTTGTAATTGTATAGTAAAGTTGCAGATTGTGACTGTTATATACAAGGAACTATCTAGAGGTAGATCATTTTGTCACATGATAGTATTTAGAAAATTGGGCAGACTAGATGGGCCAAATGGTTCTTATCTGCCGTCACATTCATGTCACATTCTATAGGTTATGAGTTTTAGAAAGCTATATGGAAAAAGCTATAGTGAGAATCCAGAAGGCTATGTCCCAGTTGTTCTGTATTGCTAGTCCCAGTATCCCTGCACGGCTCTAAATTCCCCAGAGACCAGCAAGTAGCAGCCCTTCAGCCCTTTCCCAAACTAATATTCGATAAAGTGCAGTGTGTTACTGTCAGCAACAGCCTACCTGTAAAATTAGTACTTTTTAACCATTCAAACAAAACCTATGGTAAAAGTCATTGGAAAGGAGTAGAGAACCACATAAGTTTGAGATTCGAGGACTCAAATGGTCTTGTAAGTACATTTTTATTGGGACTTAATTTTTCATCACATGGTACAAGTAACAGGTCAATACATTCTGACAATCTATGCAAGACTAGTCAGCAATATAACCAAGCAGGTAATAAAAATCACAATAACAGAGGACATCTATGGTTGACTTCAGGATTGTCCCAGATGGTCACCAGGTAAAGTGGAAAAGCCAAAACCATATAACAGAAGATTGGCACATTATTTGTGATTGGGGACATGATAAATGTAATTTAAGTTTTTAAGTTTTGTCGAGAATAGCTCCAAAAATGCACAAATCACTGCAGATCATCCATCAGGTATTGCAAACATCTTTAAGGGCATCTACACGCTGTATCTTGAGTGTTAGAAGTCGAATTTAGTATTTTGGGTAGAATATGATTCTTGAAGTTAGAATTAATAGATGTTCAGAGAGACATAACCCTAAAAGAAGAATAAACAGAATTAAATTCTCACATATGGTCATTTCAAAGCAGCATTGCATAAAAATCCTCATGGTGGCAGGCAAGTGGGGAAGGGGGATGTATCACAGGGTTATCATGCATTACTGCAGTAATGATCTGATGCAATCCCCCGGCACTGGCCAGAAGAAGCTGTCTTGGGGTGCAGACAGCAACCTCTCCCACTGGACCCCCAGGGATTAGATTATCCCCTCCCTGGCCAAAGGTAAGCATCAGGAAGGGGAGGGGGATACACTCTAGGCTGTATTTCTTTATTTAAATATAGCTTAAGCAGCCACACAGCCCATCTCTTCCACACTACATTCCCAGTTTTCCCACTATAGCCACTACTCCCCCTCCGCATCCCTCTGCCCCCACTACAGACACTATCCACCCATCAAAGCCTTAGTCCTCCCAATAGAGCCACTACCACCCTAGAGCCTCTATCCCCCACAACAGCCCCTATCTTCTCACTTTATCCCTAATCACCTTACCACCACAGTCCCACTACAGACACTACTCCTATTTACATGCTCACACACATACTACAGCACAAACAACAAGCAACCCACACAAAACCCGCACATAAGCAGCTTCCCCTACAAGCAGCTTTACCCACAGGCAGCATCCCCAGAAACAAGCAACCCAACAAGAAGCCTACATTTAGAAATACAAGACAACAAGTAGGCACCGCACACACGCAACCCTACAAGCAGCATTTCAAGAAACCTCGGATTAATGCATCCATCCGCATACCCCAAACTTGTGGATATATATATATAAAGTGCATTGAGGAAACTGGCTTTGGGGCAGCAAGGAGGATAAATGCAGCTCTGCTTTAGTGGAGATACAGAGGGCTATAAGGACCATGGGCGCCAGGATGCTCCAGGTAAGTAAAAAATTCTAGCACTTTACTTTTGCTATTTTTTTGTTTAGATGATGCCGAACATGCAAAGTTTTTAAAATATAAAGTCTAGAATGAGGAAGTGGCTCTAGTTGCGGTGTGGTTTAGACAAAATGTAAATATTGCATTTTCTCAGAAACTGCAATGTTTTTTTGTAGTGAAACAACAGGGACAGGGTCTGTGCACCAAAATCACTTCATTTAATACATCGTTCTGTCAATTTAAACAATTCATTGAACAAATAGATGTAATAACAAATGTATATATTGCTGAGGAAGGAAAGGTATACTTACATCATTCATTAAAAATTGCATTTCTAGCTCTTCTAGCAAAAGACTAAATCGAGGAAACATAAAATCCCATAATTGAGCTGGAATAAAATTCATTAAATGGATTAGTGCTCGGAGTAAAAGTTCAGATGATTTTCTATTACAGTGAAAGCTTTGAAATTAGTTCAAGGAAGTTGTTAAAAATGAAATGAGTTTCACTAATACAAGTTGTTTAATGGAAGAACAACTGCTCTAAAGCTTTCTTTGTTGCATTGAATTTGTTTTGAAAGCCAAAGGTCAAATAGTTTATTGAGAAAGAAATCATACAGAGACTAACTGTCTTATTATTATTATTATTATTATTATTATTGCCATTTATATAGCGCTTTACAATATTATGAGATGGGAGATTTAACCATAAATAGGACAATTACAAGAAAACTTACAGGAACGATAGGTTGAAGTTGACCCTGCTCAAACGAGCTTACAGTCTATAAGAGGTGGGGTATAAAACACATTAGGACAGAAAATAGCAATCAAATAAGGTGGGAGTGAAGCAGAGCTGGAGGAGAGAGCAAGAGACAGGTATGTGACGTAGAGGTTACTCTGGGAGGCCATAAGCTTAACTAAAAAGATGGGTTTTAAAGCACTTCTTAAACAACTGAAGACTAGGGAAGAGTCTGATGGTGGTAGGCAGGCTATTCCATAGGAAGGGAGCCAATCACGAGAAGCCCTGCGAGCGTGAGTTGGCCCTACGGGTGTGAGTAGTGGACAGGAGAAGGACACGGGCAGAGCGGAGAGACCGAGAAGGGCACAGCTGGATTAACATAGGGGTTGATGGAGCTGAAGCTCCAGGCCCAAGCCCATGGAATAGGCCTATTGAATTAAAAAAAAAACATTTTTTTTTCACACACTACTCTTAGGGTTGCCAGGTATTTCTCAGGTATTTCTTAGGGTTGCCAGGTATTTCTTAGAAGTATTTCTCAGATATTTAAGACTGCCTAGCCAGTGCCGGTATTGCAGCATCTCCCTCCCTGCCTCTCTCTACTCACTGATCCGTGGGGGAGTAGCTCTGCACAGAGAGTCTAGACAGCAGCTCCGAGCCTCCAGAGACAGCCAATTGATCAGGTAAGTGAGGGACGAGGGAAAGGCTGCAGCCAGACACTAGGGGACACTGTGAGACACTACGGGGCACTGAGAGACATGGGGACACTGAGACACTAGGGGGCACTGAGACACTAGGAGACATAGGGACACTTGTTGAACACAGACAGTAGGGGGCACTGGGAGACCTGGGGACACAGACACTAGGGAAAACTGAGACATGGGGACGGTGAGAGACTTGGGGACACTGAGACATTGCGACACTGGGAGACATTGTGACACTGGGGAACATGGGGACCCTGAGACACTAGGGACACAGTGGCCCCATGTCTCCCAGTGGCCCCTAGTCTTTCAGTGTCCCCATGTCTCATAGTCAGTGTCCCTAGTGTCTCAGTGTCTCCATGTCTCCCAGGGTCCCTGGTGTCTCTCAGTGTCCCCATGTTTCCCAGTGTCCCTGGTGTCTCTCAGTGTCCCTTAGTCTACCAGAGTCCCCTAGTCTACCAGAGTCCCCTAGTCTCTTAGTGTCCCAATGTATCTCAGTTTCCCCATGTCTCTCCCAGTGTCCCCTTGTGTCTCAGTGTCCCCATGTCTCTCCCATTGTCCAAATATCTCTAAGTGTCCCCTAGTGTCCTAGTGACATGGGGACACAGACACTAAGGGACTGGGAGACATGTTCACCCCTTTCGGCAGTTCTGGTTATGTGATTTGCGTCAGTTGCCTACCCTTTTACCCCATCCATAGACTTCCTGCTTTACTGGACATTGCTGTTAGGAGTATGGATTTACTTGGAAGCTGAAAGCATGAGATTAGCATAGGGTATGTATTTTCTCATAGCTGCATCCTATGAGTTTCCCTCCAGCACCTTCTCCATCAGATACATGACACTTGGGAGGTAGTCCTGTTTTAGTGTTTTTGGTCAATAAGATTTTGTAATTAGGCCCATCATAATTGTCAGCACCAGGCCCACTGAGCTCTTAATCTAGCCCTGGAGAAGGGGCATACCTATTGATCTGTGACGAGATAAGATGGGGCTGAAATTGTTCAGTGGTTTATAGGAATGGGTTAGCACTTTGAATTGACTCCTATAGGCTACAGGAAGCCAATGTAAGGACTGACGGAGGGGTGAGGTGTGAGAGGACCGACTAGAGAGGAAAATCAGTCTGGCAGCAGCATTCATTACAGACTGTAGCAGGGCAATACGGTTTTTGTGAAGACCAATTAGAACAGGGTTACAATAATCCATGCGGGAAATTACTAGAGCATGGACAAGCTCTTTGGACCATCTTGCATAAGAAAGGGGCGGATGCAGGCTATGTTTTGAAGATAGAATCTACAGGATTTGGTAACATGCTGGATGTGAGGCTCAAAGGTGAAGCTAGAATCAAATTAGACAGCACCCTTGCAAGTATGGAATGATGTGGATGCCACTGACTTGAAGGGAGAGCGAAAGAAGAGGATCAGTATTAGAAGGAGGAAAGACTAGGAGTTTAGTTTCATAGAAATTTAGTTTTAGAAAGTGGGAGGACATCCAGTCCGAGATAGAGGAAAGGCAAGCAGTGACACGTTGCAGGATGGCAGGGAAGAGGTCTGGGGCGGAAAGATATAGCTAGGTGTCATCGGCGTACAGATGGTAGTGGAATCCAAATGAGGCAATAAGTTTCCAATAGAGTCAGTATAAAGAGAAAATAGAAGGGGACCAAGGACAGAGCCTTGGGGGACTTCAACAGAGACAGGATGAATGGAGGAGGTATCATTAGAAAAGGAGACACTGAATGAGCGTTGGGAAAGATAGGAGGAAAACCAAGAGAGGACAGTGTTACAGAGAACAAGTGACTGAAGTGTTTGAAGAAGGAGAGCATGATCAACGGTGTCAAAGGCAGCAGAGAGGTCAAGAAGTATTAGTATGGAGTAGTGGGCTTTAGATTTAGCTGCAATCTAAAGCCCACTACTTTAATAAGAGCAGTCTCAGTAGAGTGGAGGGAAGGGGGTCAAGGAGAGAGTTGGAATTGAGGAAGTGAGACATACAGGTAAAGACAAGTCTTTCCAGAAGTTTTGAGGAAAAAGGGAGCAGGGATATGGGACGATAGAGGGGGTGGACAGATTGAGAGATGTTTTTTTCAGGATAGGTACTACAGTAGAATGTTTAAGGTCAGCAGGGACAATGTCAGAAGAGAGAGAGCAATTGATGTGTGTTAAGGAAGGCACAAAACAAGGGGAGAGAGTTCTGATAAGGTGAGATGGGACAGGATCGAGCGGGCAAGTGGTAGGGTGAGAGGAAAGTAGAAGCTCAGCCACCTCTTGTTCAGTGGCTGGGGAGAAAGTCTGAAGGGTAGGAAAGGCATGATCTATGTGTGGTTGAGAAAGAGAACGGCAAGGCGGGGAGAATTCTTTCCTTAGCTGTTCAATCTTGTCGGTAAAGTAGCATGCAAAGCTCTCAGCTGTATGGTTAGTTTGATGGGTGGCCACAGCAGGGCGAAGAAGAGAGTTAAAGGTGTCAAAGAGATGCCTGGGATTGAGGGAGCATGAACTAATGAGAAAGGAAAAGTATAACTGTTTGGCAAGGGCAGCGGCTGTATAAGCACAATATGAATCTATAATGGAAAAAGTCTGACTGGGTGCCAGACTGCCTCCAGGAGCGGAAGACAAACAGAGCTATTCAGTAAAGGGAGAATTGTCAGTAAATCAAAGTGAATTTAAATTGAAGAGCAAAGTAACCAAACTGACAATAGAGATGACTTGGATAATTTTTCCAATTAGGCTATTTGGTCTTATATTTGGCCTTTCAGCTGTTTAGTATATTGCTCCTTACTTTGGTATCCTCTTTGTGGGATTGCCATAATATGGAGTGTCAAATCTGGACATATCTACTGTGATGGAAGGTCCCATGACACAGCCTTCTGGAAAGGCTTAAAGGATATATATATATTTAATTAGGTTGTCAGGCAGTCCCCCTGAACCAGATCATCGTGGAGGGTAAGTATGGGAAGCAGGGGGGTGTCACTATCTGCAGGGCATTCTATGCTGTCCACTTTTATTGGGCAACATAGAACACCCTGTGGCATTAAGGGGTTAAACACAACATAAAAGAATAAGTGTTTTTACAGAAGGGCTTCTTAATAGATAATGCAGTCTTGTCTTTCTGGGTATTTATTTTCATTTTGTTTTATTCTACTTAATTGTTTGTCTTGTTTTTATGTAATTGACGTGATTGATTTGTGTAGGAAACAGATATACTTACGAGATGGCATATTCTTCACAAGGTTTGGCAGATTTGTGTTAACTAAAGATTGAACAAGTTCCTGGAAACATGCAAGAAAAGAAGATACCATTAATATGAATTAAAATGCACCTTTCATTGCAATATGTATAGTTCTTTCAAAATGTAAGCAATATGTGGAACACTATTCTGTGTGTAGAGTGTAAGAGGGATGCATTGTGTGTTTCTCTGTGTGTGTGCAAGGGATGAATCCTGTGTTGGTGTGCGCAAAGATGCATTGTGTGTTTCATTGTGTGTTTGTGTGTAAGGGATGCATTGCGTGCTTGTGTGTATGTGTAAGGAATTAATTGTGTTTGTCTATGTGTAAGGGATGCATTGTGTTTCTCTGTCAGTGTGTGTGTAAGGGATTCATTGTTTGTGTATGTAAATGATGCATTGTGTGTTTCTGTGTGTAAGGTTGGTTTGTGTGTGTGTAAGAGATGATTTGTGATCTGTGTGTGTAATGGATGTATTGTGTGTTTGTCTGTGTAAGGAATGCATTCTGTGTTTCTGTGTGTGCGTAAGGAATGTCTTGTGTGTCTCTATTTGTAAGGGATGCATTATGTGTGTGTGTGTGAGTGTGTGTGTGAGAGAGAGACTTATGGGATAGGATATGGGAGTTTTGTGCGGGAAGTGAGGGTAGCATCTTTTTATTTTTTAATATTTATTTATTTAGCTTTTTTTTCAAAGGTTTATTCCCCCATCCTGTTTTTTTGCCTGTGGCCAGTATAGGAGGACAACGCATTTGGAGCATTCTGTGGTGGTCTAGTGGTAGCATAGAGGCTCTGTATTCACCTGTGATGGGTGAAGGATCTTCCTGTGTGCCCAGGGCTTGCAAGAATAAGAGGACCAGCTGCAGAGGTGAAGGGTGAAAGACTTTTGAACCCCCCCCCCCCTCCTTCCACATGCTGTGCAACTCTGAAAAGATTTTTCACCTCCTTTACTTGGGCATGTGTGTATGTAAGGGGCCCAGTGAGCCCAGGCCCTATATTCACTTATTCCCTATATGTACGTATGTATCTGTATAATGCATGCAAAGCATTATGGGACATGGAGTTCACAACATCTGGAGTGCCAAAGATTGCCTAGATTATTAATATTCTATTTATACCTTTGGGTCACTATATATATATATATATATATATATATATATATATATGTTAAACTTGAGACCCAAGTAATACGATGAGATATATATATGAAATGACACTCTGCTACAATATAAAGTAGTAAGTGTACAGCCTGTATAACAGTGTAAATTTGCTGTCCCCTCAAAATAACTCAACACACAGCCATTAATGTCTAAACTGTTGGCTGTGTGGAAATGTCCAAATGGGGCCCAAAGTGTCAATATTTTTTGAGGCCAGCATTATTTTCCAGCACTGCCTTAACCCTCATGGGCATTGAGTTCACCAGAGCTTCACAGGTTACCACTGTGAGTCCACAGGAGTCCTCTTTCACTCCTCCATGATGACATCATGGAGCTGGTGGATGTTAGAGACCTTGCGCTCCCCCCACCTTCCCTTTGAGGATTCCCCACAGATGCTCAATAGGGTTTAGATCTGGAGACATGCTTTGCCAGTCCATCACCTTTACCTTCAGCTTCTTTAGCAAGGCAGTGGTCGTCTTGGAGGTGTTTTTGGGGTCGTTATCATGTTGGAATACTGCCCTATGGCCCAGCCTCTGAAGGGAGGGGATCATGCTCTGCTTCAGTATGTCACAGTACATGCTGGCATTCATGGTTCCCTCAGTGCCGGCAGCACTCATGCAGGCCCAGACCATGAGACTCCCACCACCATACTTGACTGTAGGCAAGACACACTTGTCTTTGTACTTCTCACCCGGTTGCTGTCACACACGCTTGACACCATCTCAACCAAATAAGTTTATCTTGGTCTCATCGGACCACAGGACATGGTTCCAGTAATCCATTTCCTTAATCTATTTATCTTCAGCAAACTGTTTGCAGGCTTTCTTGTGCATCACCTTTATAAGAGGCTTCCCTCTGGGACGACAGCCAAGCAGACCAATTTGATGCAGTGTGCGGCATATGGTCTGAGCACTGACAGGCTGACCCCCACACCTCTTCAACCTCTGCACCAATGCTGGCAGAACTCATATGTCTATTTCCCAATGACAACCTCTGGCTATGACGCTGAGCACGTGTACTTAACTTCTTTGGTCGACCATGCCGAGGCCTGTTCTGAGTGGAAAATTCCTGAATGGATTTGGGTGATTTTTGGATATGTTGGTCACCCATATCAGTGCTATCAGGGGATGTAACATTTGTGGGACTTTATGTATTTTAAGGCTACTTTTGGGGTGTTTTTAAAAAGTATGTTTTTTTCTGTGCTTGGAGATAATTGGATTAGAATTAGTACAGTTACTGATCCAATTATCTCCCAGGCAAAGGGGAGGGATTGTGTGCTGTGTATGGGAGTGTAGTGCCTTGTAACCCTATTGGTATTGGTCTGTGAAGTTGCAAATCAGTCTAGCATCAGGTCCATGTGGGCGTACCCCTTGCATGGGGATTTTCATATAAGGCCAAGTGTGGCTCCCATTAAAGTGAGATATAGTCTTGGCTCATGTTTGGGGGATTGGAGAACTACATTCACTCTGGGGATTGCTATATCACAACACTCCCCTGAGTATGATCACTAGCTCTTATAAGAGCTGTTCCTGCTACGCTCTCTGGACTAGGAGAGGTCTACCCACTGTAAGCTGGATCCTGGTCTTGGGTCTAGGGTGGGTGGAGGACAGCGAGACCGCAACCAAGCTGCGGCGGTTCGTGGGGTCTATGGTGGTTATGGTGTTCCAGTACAGTGCTCACAAGTACTAGGAAGCAGCAATTGACGGAGTTTCTCGGTCGAGATGCCAGGCTGTGTGTGTGTGCATGTCTTTTTATAAGAAAGCAATTGATTATCTAGATAGAACATTTCCATGTAAGGGCCAGTTTTGTCACATGTTCATTAACTGAATACTTACATTAGAGCTAACAGAACTGCTGCGTGTAGATTTATTGTTTAGTTGTAAATCACTGTGTAAGGAAAAACAAATTAGAAATAAAAGAATAAAATCACATCATAAACATAAAGCAAGTGGTATGCATAAAATGAGCCGTTTCACTTCAATCTTAACATGTTTTAACTAGAGGAAGCCTTCTTTATGGGAATCTCACTAGATCCATGATCAGTATTTCATGACATTTAGTCAAAATGTTAATCATCAGCTGAAAAACTCAAATACTATCAATTCATGCATTTATCAAGATTCATTTAGCTTCAACTCTGCTACACTAAACCTTGAAAGGAGTTAGGATGCCTTTAAATGATAGTGATCTACAAGATCCTTCAGAACTGAGGAAAGAACTCATGTAGAGAGTATTGTGTATGGGCATATACCCGTAACCAACCACTAATCCCCAACCACTTTGCTTGCCCGAAATAATCAAACCACAGACTTACTTGGTGGAAATAGGCCACAGCTTTATTAAATATATAAATATGTTACAAATATGTTACACAGCCTGGGGAGGTCCAGGAAGGAGCGGCTCAGATGCAGGCCGCTTTAGCTCCACCCTTATTTATGATCCGATCACAGCCCACCAAAACGTTCAAATTTGAAAGTTTTGGGGACGTGGCCATAAATTAAAGGCATAGGTTATTAAAGGAACACTTAGGGTATGGATCATTGCCCTGTTCTGGTTTCTGTTTACAGTTCCCAAGAGTGCGTTATATTCTCTGTCTTTTCTGTTATTTTGATCTCGGCTTTACTCTGACTATTCTCTGTTCTGTTCTCCTGTGGCTAGGCTATTGTTTTTTTTGCTTCCCTGATATCTGTCTTCCCTGACTTGGCTTTTCCCTGACCATTCTTTTTCTAACAACGTATAACCCGGCCATTCTAAGGACCGGTAAACGTTGCTTAAACTATCATATATACACTGTGTGTTGGGTTACTTGGTATCGTGACACCTATATACATAACTTACTCAGTAAATATATCCATCACCGAGTACCACCTTGCCAACCAAAAACAATTCACTTGGGCAGCTGCTCTCCCCCGTCATCTTATCAGGGGCCAGAGGAACCCTGAAAAACCACGAGACCGACTCCAGAGACCGAAGAAGGTGTGAACACAAGTGTAAACCTGCAGGACCAACACAAAGGAAATCATCCAAGTAGTGTAGAAGCGAGTCACAAGCCGCTATCTCCCGCACCACCCACTCCAGGAAAATGCTGAAACTTTCAAAATAGAAACAGTAGATCGAGAAACCCATGGGCAGGCACAAGTCTACATAATAATAGTCCCGGAAAAAACAGCCCAGCAGATGGTGGCAGTCCGGGTGCACCAGATGCAGCCAAAAGACAGCTTTAACATCCGCTTTAGCCATAAGAGCCCAGACCATCCGAACCACTCAGTTGAAAGACGCAAACGATACGCTGCACAGCTCAACATCAATATCATCATTCACCGATCCCCCAAAGATGTGTCTTCACCCTTCTAGAACACGGTATCCCCCCGTTCAGTGGCCTTACCCGCTTAAAGCAGCATGCTGCAGAGTGTGAACCCCCACACTCGGAGCATTGGTGCTTAAACTTGCACCCGGCCTCCCACGTGCAATAGCTTTCGTTGAACTGCCAGCAGAAACCTGGGCACGGCCGACGCAGAGGGGTGTCCCACCATGCTGCCCCCCAGCTCCCCATACACTCCCCCTTCCAGAACTTTTCCCGGGATTCCTAGCACAAATGCAACTTGAGAGGGTCTGACCAACACATGTAGGACGCGCCATGGGTGGCCGGCGCAACCTCCAACCCTGCTACCGATCCTGTCACAGAGCAGGAAGATGTGTGCACCACAGGGGCTAGTGCCTTTGATGTTTCCCCCAGGATGGACATCCCATTTCTCCTAGAAGAAGAAATCGGAGAAGCGTACCACCCCGCATGAACCTGTGAGACCAAAGAAGAGGGGAGCAGAGACCCCACTGACCTACGCTCCAACTGACCCAATAAACCATGCAGAGAACCCCAATCAGGCTGAAGCTCCCCTCCAAAGCAGCCACCCATGCAGTGACTGGAGCAGCAGAGCCATGCCAACAGGATGCTGGGCCTGAGCTGCAGCAACCAGCAAAAAGAAACCGGAGTAGAACCCAATGATATATGAAACATAGCGCAGTCCGGAGCCACTTGGAAAGAGAGCACAGGTAAATTAATTTCCTTCCCCCACACACGCGAAAGAGGAGGCCCACCCCAGGGGGACATGGAAGTTAGGAGATGCCCAGTAGGCGTAGGCAAAACACCCAGTGAAGGAAGGGGGCTAGCAGAGTCACTATGGGAAGGGGAAGGAGACAGCTGTCTCACACTACTCCCAGACTGCCCCCTCACCTCTGCCCCCCGGGAAATACCCTGTGGCCTACTCACTCGCCTGGAGACCCGTCCACCACTCTGCCCACCTAGGCCACCGGAAAACATTCGCATTAGCCCGTCCCAATGCCCGGGTAGTAACAGGAGCATGCGAAGGAGGTGAAGCAAGCCTCACAGCCACAGACCAATAGATCCGCGTTGCTGGGTCTGCGCTCCTGAGTCCAGGAAAACCTGCAGCTTCCCCAGGAGGGCTGAAATGTTCAAGTTGCTGTGCTCGCATCCAGGAACCCCCACGATCGACGAGTCAGCTGAGCCTGCAGGTGCAGGCATCCATACTCAGACCCTGGCCGAAAACAGCATTTGGCAAGCAGGTTCACAAGGAAGCAACTACCACGCAATTACCAAGCTGTTACCAACGGATTATTAAGATGGCTGCTTTGACTGTAGAATGCCCACCTATTTATACTATCCCACCGATTTTCCACTAATCCTCTTCCCACTATTCTAAGACCTACTTACCATTTTATCTATATGTGGCGAAACCAACCTCGCCACTGTGAACTGGAGAAGCCTGGTTGCTCGCCTGCTCCCTTTGGACTATGGCCCTGCAGGTTAAACCATTTATTTTCCCTGCAGAAAGGCTTATTCGTGTGATCTGAGTGCCATTCATCTAATAATGTGCGCTCAGATCAAAGCTATCTGGGGATGTGTAGAAATGTGTGTTTTATGTACTAAATGTATCAGTATGTAATTTTATGTCTTTTACTGTCTTTTTGTCTGCCATGTGGGTAATGGAGTTTTGCCTCTGTCCTGGGAGATAATTAGATTCCTTCCCCAATTATCTCCAGGCCAGGGAGGAGGGATTGTGATGCATTGTGGGCTGTAACTGTTACTTGATTGGTTATTTTATACCTCCCTGTGGGCGGTCCTGTATGTGCAAGACTGTAATAAAAACCAGGCTGGGTGTGCCAGCAGTGTTGTTCCTGTTTAACCCTCCAAGTGAAGTGTCGTCTCATTCTTGGGGGGAATTTGACTGTATGCCGATTGCCAGGAGTGTAAGCTGTTCTTAGGGCTTTTCCTGTTCGGCTGCTTCCAGGGTTCGTGTGTTTCCTGTTCGGGAGTTGGGGATTCGTACAGTTTGGAGTTTGGGAGATTGGTGATTGCAGTAGCTGCTGGTCTATGGGAAAGGGGATTATCGCCTAAACGGTTTTTATCCTCTTGTGAGATAAACGGTCCGTTACACTATACACTCCCCATCACATTCACATGTCCCTGTTCTGTCTAAGCCTTGCTTGACTCATGAGGGTCTTTTCTAACAAGTTTGCTTAAAAACATTGTAAGCCCTGCTGAAAACAGAAGAACTACTAAATAACCCTTTGTGATAATTGTGTCACATAACTAGAGAATGTGGCAGTTTCGGCCTAGACACATATTATGTTTAATTTTTACCAAACTCAAGTCAAATTGTAGTTACCTTAACAAGTGAAAGTTAACTCCAACGTTCGATTTTGTTGCATTCAGTGAGATTCCCACCTGTGCATTCTGCAATAAAGGATTACGTATTTATTTAATTTATTTCATGCAATAAAATGTTAATGTTTAATGCTCCTATTATCCTAAAAACTGTATTCATTATCATTTCACATTTAGAAGTTTATATACTAGAAAGAAAGTAAATTTGTCTGAATAATTTTTTCTAAAATGTTAATTTTGTTTAGGACGTCCGACACTTGTTCATGTGGGTTCAGCCTAAAAAATATTTAGTAAAACATTCTGACAAACCACAAATGTCAAATGAATGAACCAATCAGAAGATAGATAGATAGATAGATAGATAGATATACATACAAAGACAAAATCCAATATGTTTGCACTCCTGGTGATAATCAATTGCCCGGTGCTGATCCAGCAAAATTAGTAGAAATCCCAGTAAACGGAAAGCACTCCAGGGTCTTTGAGGTATAGTAAAATATAACTTTTAATTCATATATAAAAATAAAATAAACAAATAAAACAAGCAACGTTTCGCTCACATCTGGAGCCTTCTTCAGGATGACAAACATAGCATTTACAGACAAAGCAGTGTAATATATGTACAAAATAATTAAATGCTTACCATCATCATATGAGTCAGAGGCAGCAAAAATCCACGAGACAAAAGCCGATCAGCCCGATCTGCCGAAAACCTGACCGGTTCCCATGCTGTATGTGTTCCACCGTTGCTAGGCAACGCACAGCACACTGCCGATCGGCTGCTCGCAAAGAAATGATTGCCAGAGCAATCATCCTCAGCCAGCCTTACATGCTGTTGCTGGGAAAGGCTCACTGCCACCAATGTCTCATATATGAATGTAGTGAAACATAAAATAGACCGATGTAGGTCTAAAGAGTGTTAAAAATGAAAGGCACACTAAATAACAAGCTCCAAAAAAAATGTATACACATGGCAGGGTGAATAGACATGGACGGAATACTTATGCAGTGTAATGATTATGTCTAAACATAGCTCTGTGATTCTAGTCTCCAGAGATATAACAAATTGCAACAAATGTAACACTTGCTAATTGACAGCAGTACATAACATCGGTAGCTAGGTCTGTGATTCTAGTACCCAGAGATATAACCAACTGCAACAAATGTAACACTTGCAAATTGGCAGCAGTACATCCCACGATTGGTAGCTGTGGAGAATAGACAGCACATACAGACATAATGCAGCTAGTTAGGCTGTGGCTACAAAGGAGTTTAGGATGCCCATGCTATACAAAAAACAAGAGGGAGAGAAAGAAAAAGAAAAGAACAAAGAGGAGGAAAGGAACAGAGAAAAAAAGGGAATATATACAATAGAATATATAAAATATATACAAGAGAGAAAAAAAGAGACAAAAAAGAGAAAAAGAGGAGGGGAGGGGTGGGGGAACAGAAAAAAATGGAATATATAGAGAGAAAGACCCCTAGAGAAAGTAAGCGACAAATTCCCCTACTGTGGATACAAAAAAGGAAGAGGGGAGATAAATCAAGCGTGAAGCCCGCTGGAAATCAGTCCAAATGGAACAAAATCTCAACCAAGTATATATTAAGCAATCATATATACATAATTATGTGGGTGGATTATAGGTAGAGAATATACTGCAAATACTAAAAATAAACCTGGGGGGACAAATAGGGGAATAGTGTTCTCTAATTCATAGGCAACCATATATAATGTGCAATATAATATTTAAAGAAACATGGCAAATGTTACTTCCTTGTTAAGACCTCTAGGCCAGACTGTATGAGAGTTCTAAAACAAAATGTCTCCCACCCCCCCTTGGTGATAGGGGTATGTGGTCAATCGCCATAAACTTCAATGATGACAGAGGATGACCCAATGCCAAAACGTGCTTGGCCACAGGTAGTTCCGCTTTATTGTCTCTGTACGCAGTCCTGATGCTGGAGCGGTGGTTTCTTATTCTGGTTTTCCTACATATGAAAGACCACACGGGCATTGGAGTTTGTAGATGATGTGGTCGGATGTACATGTTATTCTATGACATATTTTAAACACTTTGCCACTATGTGGGTGTGAAAAGGTTTTACTTGGAATCATGTGGCTGCAGGTGACGCAGCCCAAGCACCTAAAGCATCCTGGATATGCTGTCGCTTGTTCGGTAGAATAACACAGTACCGGGTCCGTTCTGACTAGAAGGTCCCTTAAGTTCTTCCCACATCTGAAGCACATCATTGGGGGGCTGCGGAATTCATTAGGCAATTTGTTATATTTCTGGGTACTAGAATCACAGACCTAGCTACCGATGTTATGTACTGCTGTCAATTTGCAAGTGTTACATTTGTTGCAGTTGGTTATATCTCTGGAGACTAGAATCACAGAGCTATGTTTAGACATAATCATTACACTGCATAAGTATTCCGTCCATGTCTATTCACCCTGCCATGTGTATACATTTTTTTGGAGTTATTTAGTGTGCCTTTCATTTTTAACACTCTTTAGACCTACATCGGTCTATTTTTTCACTACATTCATATATGAGACATTGGTGGCAGTGAGCCTTTCCCAGCAACAGCATGTAAGGCTGGCTGAGGATGATAGCTCTGGCAATCATTTCTTCGCGAGCAGCCGATTGCCTAGCAACGGTGGAACACATACAGCATGGGAACCGGCCAGGTTTTTGGCAGATCGGGCTGTTCGGCTTTTTTCTCGTGGATTTTTGCTGCCTCTGACTCATATGATGATGGTAAGCATTTAATTATTGTGTACATATATTACACTGCTTTGTCTGTAAATGTTGTCTTTCTGAAGAAGGCTCCAGATGTGAGCCGAAACGTTGATGTTTGTTTTATTATTTTTTTATATGAATTAAAAGTTATATTTTACCATACCTCAAAGACCCTGGAGTGCTTTCCGTTTACTGGGATATATATCACTTCGGAGTTTAGGAATTGGTCCAAAAAGCTGATCAGCCCAAATTCGTCCAAATTTTAATTTTTTTGGAATCTGAATGCACAAGTCCATTATACGCTGCAAGAACATGTTTAAGACTTTCCCCTTTGCTAAATATTTGTCTTAAATAATATTTATTCATTTTAATGTGTACCTTTTCCATCTAATCAGTTACTAAATTGGTAAGATGGATACTTACAGCTGGCGCAGACACAAGAACTCCGAGAGATTCACTGACTACTTTAACTTCTGCATCTAAAGAAAGTGTAGACCCAGCTTTTCGAAGAGAGCAATTTGCAGATGTAATAGACATTTCCAAATCTAGATAATCTTCCAGAGTTCCATCCTATGGAAAAAACAGAAACAACAGAAAGAGCTGCTCATTTTGTGTCTGGTTTAATAAGTAAATAACTCGTTATATGGCAACATTTATTGAATGTCCCATTGATATCATGGCATAATCTACAATAGAGATTTTGCTTGTCATATTGTGATGGTTCATCAAAGCAAATCATTGCTGAAATCCAAAGCTGTCAATCCGTGGAAGAATCTCTACGTGCTTTGTGTATGAGGTCATTGCTGTTTATTTAAGGAGCAGATTTTATCACTCAGGCAGTGGTGATGGTGTTTGGAGGTGCCCCAGTCTGCCATCCTTTATCATATATTTCTTATCCAACAAGCTGGGTTCTCTCATCCTGACTTGGATTGCTTCATAACAACAGGAGGAAATCTAATGATTCTGGGCCACTTACCCCCTGAAACCTGATAAATAACTTCACTTACCTCTGAAACTTGATCTTTAAACGGGGTTGACGGGATCTGTGTCTGTAGAATAAACAATAACAGGTTAATGTTATACAATTTGTAGATTGCCTATAGAAGTATTTTTAATTATGTGAAGTAAGAAATATAGAGTTGATTTACTCTAATGACAAAATAAGTACTCTCCAAATATTTTGTGAGTTCCGACTCTATCCCAACACTTGCAGGGAGTTTAATCTTTCCTCTCCCATTCTAGATCACAAGTAGTTCTTCAGGTGCTTTAAATTGGAGAAAGGAAGCTCACCTGAGAAGTTACTTAGTGCAGTGATCAAAAACATTCTTAGAGCGATGTCCTTATTTGAATAAATACTTTGCAGTCCTGTCTCTCTCATCAATCGGGACATAGCCAGAACAGAGTTATCTTGCCTAATAAGAACTTATTAGGTATAAACGAAAGTGGAGAAAACACTCCTGCTCATGCTGTACGAAGTACAGACCACTTCAGCTTACAAGTAGCGCCGGCCCTGCCCGTTTGTGGGTATGTTCTCCCCTTTCGGCAGTTCTGGTTATGTGATTTGCGTCAGTTGCCTACCCTTTTACCCCATCCATAGGCTTCCTGCTTTACTGGACACTGCTGTTAGGAGTATGTATTTATTTGGAAGATGAAAGCGTGAGATTAGCATAGAGTATGTGTTTTCTCATAGCTGCATCCTATGAGTTTCCCTCCATCAGATACATGATGCTTGGCAGGTAGGACTGTTTTAGTGTTTTTGGTCAATAAGATTCTGTAATTAGGCCCATCATAACTGTCAGCACCAGGTCCACTGGGCTCTTAATCTGGTCCTGCTGGCAGTGTCTTTCCCTCCCTACCCTCCCCAATGTTTCTGTTCCGGAATTGTTGTTTTGTGTTTTCTTTGTTTTCATTTTGTCTCAGCTGCGGGTTTCCTGAGCCAGCAAGTTTGGTAAATGAATATTGCATGGACGGGCTTGGGGAGTCGCAGTCTGAATTTGGTTGATGACGAAGGACAGGCTGAAGAGGCTCTGGAAGAAGTTGAAAGTGTACCTGTCTGCTGGGTAAAACCAGCCGCTGACAGTATTTGGTTGTGCTGGGTTAAATAAAGCTGTGGCCGTTGACACTTAGCATGGTGATCAAAGGAGTCAGCAGTCATGTGCGGTTTTGTTAGGCTTGGACCTTTGTGGTTTACATTAGTATTGGTCCTGGGATCCTTTCGATATTAGAAACCCACTCACTCCTCCTTTAGACCACCCCCGTTTGCTGTTAACACGTAGTCACGCGTCATTATAATGTCACACGCTGCATGCGCATGCACAATGACGTCAGACGCTACATTGTATTGGTATCTCTGTATTATATTCAGTCTGTGTATTGTGTATATATCCCTGTATTGTACCTAGCTCTGAGTATTGTATGGGCATTTCTGTATTATATTCAGTTTGTGTATATATCCCTGTATTGTACCTAGCTCTGAGTATTGTATGGGTATCTCTGTATTATATTCAGTCTGTGTATTGTGTATATATCCCTGTACTGTACCTAGCTCTGAGTATTGTATGGGCATTTCTGTATTATATTCAGTTTGTGTATATATCCCTGTATTGTACCTAGCTCTGAGTATTGTATGGGTATCTCTGGATTATATTCAGTACTGTATATTGTGTATATATCCCTGTATTGTACCTAGCTCTGAGTATTGTATGGGCATTTCTGTATTATATTCAGTTTGTTTATATATCCCTGTATTGTACCTAGCTCTGAGTATTGTATGGGTATCTCTGGATTATATTCAGTTTGTGTATATATCCCTGTATTGTACCTAGCTCTGAGTATTGTATGGGTATCTCTGGATTATATTCAGTTTGTGTATATATCCCTGTATTGTACCTAGCTCTGAGTATTGTATGGGCATTTCTGTATTATATTCAGTTTGTGTATATATCCCTGTATTGTACCTAGCTCTCGGTATTGTATGGGTATCTCTGGATTATATTCAGTACTGTATATTGTGTATATATCCCTGTATTGTACCTAGCTCTGAGTATTGTATGGGTATCTCTGTATTATATTCAGTACTGTATATTGTGTATATATCCCTCTATTGCACCTAGCTCTGAGTATTGTTTGGGTATCTCTGGATTATATTCAGTTTGTGTATATATCCCTGTATTGTACCTAGCTCTGAGTATTGTATGGGTATCTCTGGATTATATTCAGTACTGTATATTGTGTATATATCCCTGTATTGTACCTAGCTCTGAGTATTGTATGGGTATCTCTGTATTATATGCAGTACTGTATATTGTGTATATATCCCTGTCAGGGCCGGATTAAGAGCACAGTGGGCCTGGTGCTGACAATTATGATGGGCCTAATTACGGAATCTTATTGACCAAAAACACTAAAACAATCATACCTCCTAAGCGTCATGTATCTGATGGAGATGGTGCAGGAGGGAAACTCATAGGATGCAGCTATAAGAAAACACATACTCTACGCTAATTTCGCTCTAATTTATGCTTTCATCTTTCAAGTAAATCCATACCCCCTAACAGCAATGTCCAGTGAAGCAGGAAGTCAATGGGCGGGGTAAAAGGGTGGGCCACTGGCGTGAATCACGTGACCAGACCTGCCAAAAGGGGTGAACATGCCCAAAAAGGGGGCATGTTTGTCCAAAGAATTGGAAGGTCAGTCTGGCATGAATGCATGTCAGGCTGCCTGCCAATCCTGCAGGCTGTCCAACTAAGGGCATACTATGCAGGCAGCACCCTGAGCTTGACATAAATGCATCTAATGATGCGCTCACTCCATTCTTTCTAAGGACTGTCCCCTAGCACTCGCTGGTCCACTTGTCTCCTTACCTTCTTACTAGCAGGCAGAGGTTCCTGGTATATAGTCTGAGACAGAGAAAAGGTGTCTGTAGTAAGTGTAGAAGAAAGGGGACATGCCACAGTGTTAGAGAGACCAACGTCTGCATTACCTAAACTAACTTTAATGTCAGCCAGTGCATACAATTTTTATTCCCATACATCCCTCTTAAGCTTCCAAACTTAAAGGGACACTATAGTCACCAGAACAACTACAGCTTATTGTATTTGTTTTGGTAAGTAGAATCATTCCATTCAGGCTTTTTGCAGTAAACACTGTCTTTTCAGAGAAAATAACTCCACTGGCCGCTCCTTAGATGGCTGCTAGAGGTGCTTCCTGGGGCAGTACTGCGATTCAGTGTCTCCACCCTCTGCATGCAGACACTGAACTTTCCTCATAGAGATGCATTTATTTAATTTATCTTTATGATGAGATGCTGATTGGCCAGGGCTATGTTGGACTTGTGCTGGCTCTGCCCCTGATCTGCCTAGTTGACAGTCTCAGCCAATCCTATGGGGAAGTATTGTAATTTGCTCAGACCACCACTTCTGAGCCAGCAGCTGCAGAATTGAATACAAATAATATTTTACTATATTTAGGGAGGCAAGAAGGGGGCCAGGGTGGTGGTTTTAACATAATAGGGTGTGAAGAAATCCCCCTATTCCTATGTGATTTACAGTGTGCATTCCCTTTTTATTCTCTATGTACTGCCTATGGTATTCGGTAGATGAAACTACCGAACCGGGACCACCCTCTGGCTCATTAAACATCAAAGATTTAGGTGAAATTGCTACCTCTGTCTGTGCAGCCAGCGTTCGTTAGTTGAACGCCACGTGGCATCTTTGTACATGCGAACAAAGAGAGCGGGACCTGGTCGTCGAGTGCATGGAACTGTTTTACGGACACTCGACTTCCCGAACACCGGTCCCAAACAGACGAACGCTGGAACTCTATTTACCGAATAGCTAGAAGAGCGCTATTCGGTACTTTGATGCATTCGACAGAGGGGCACGAACGCTGCTAGGAGCCAGAGGGATCCATTCGGTACTTTTCTTCGTTTTTATGTTTTTCGAAAGTGAACGGCAAAACCCACCAAATTCGTGGAACTGTTTTGGGCATGCAGCCCAGGGTGAGCTGGTCACACAAGACTTCCATAGAATTTGCAAGCCCCTGAACCAATCTGGGTGAAATTCGAATAAGTTGGTCACCCAGATCAGGGGACGCATAATTTATGGGGATACCCCCAGTATAAAGGGGTGTTCTGAAAGTTGGGGAAAAAAGTGATTTTTCAGCCCGGAGATAATTAAGTTACTATTTTATCAGACTAAATTATCTCCTGGGCTAGGGGAGGGAATTGGAGGTGTGTGTTAACATTTTACTGTTTATGATTGGCTATTGTTTGTCCCTCCCTGAGGGCTGTCCCCTTGCATGGGGACTTGCATAAAAGCTGTGTGCACCCATTAAAGGACAGTTCATTTTGTACCTTCTTCTTGACTTCGGCTGATGTTTGGGGATTCGTGTGTTTCACTAAGGGAATTATCTGGTGAAGCTATTGGAATTACTATAGGATTCGTCTACCTTATCTACCGAACGGAGGGCTATAATCACTAAGGCTCTGGCGGTTCGGGAGGAAACTACCGAATGAGGTTTAAATACACTTGGTTTCCTTACATAGGGTAAGAAATACATGATTGTGTTCCTGACATTATAGTGCTCCTTTACGCAAGAGTATGTGAAGAGAAGTTAAGGTTGCCACCTTTCTTGGAAAAAAATACCAGCCTTAATCATTTGTATAATTAATTAGTTATGTGTGACATCACATGATGTAAATCACAAGGAGTGACATCAGAGAAAATTCTGTAAAATCACCAACAAACTACTCACAGTTTGATTCTGCTGTATAGATGGATTGCTCCCAGTGTCTCCCAGTGTCTCAGTCTTGCAAGTCACCCAGTGTCTCCGTGTTCCTATGTATCACAGTGTCAGTGTCCCCATTTCTCCCAGTGTGCCAATGTCTCAGTGTGTCCCCATGTCACTAGGATACTGGGGACACTGAGAGACATGGGGACACTGGGAGACATGGGGACACTGAGACATTTAGGGAAACTGGGAGAAATGGGGACACTGAGACACTAGGGACACAGACACTGGGAGACATGGGGACACTGAAACATTTCGGGACACTAAGACACTAGGGACACAGACATGAGAACACAGACACTGGGAGACTAGGGGACACTGGCTGGGAGACAGACACTTTAGGACACTGGGAGACATGGGGACAGTTGTGAACATAGGCATGTGGACACTGGGACATATAGGGACACTGGGAGACATGGGGACACCAGGCACACTGAGACACTAGGAACACAGACACTGAGAGACATGGAGACACTGAAATATTTGGGGACACTAAGACACTAGGGACACAGACACTGGGAGACTAGGGGACACTGGGAGACTAGGGGACACTGGCTGGGAGACAGACATTTAGGGAGACATGGGGTCAGTTGTGGAAATAAACATGGGACACTGGGACACATGGGAACACTAGGCACACTGATAGACATGGGACACAGACACTGGGAGACTTGGGGACACTGGGACACTAGGGACACTGGCTGGGGGACATAGTGTCTCCGTGTCCCAATGTCCCTATGTCTCACAGTGTCCCCATGTGTCCCAGTGTCCCCTAGTGTCTCAGTGTCCCCAAGTGTCTGTGTCCCCAGGTCTCCCAGTGTCTGTGTCCCCATGTGTCCTAGTGTCTCAGTGTCCCCTAGTGTCTGTGTCCCCTAGTGTCTGTGTCCCCATGTTTTCCAGTGTCCCCAAGTGTCTCAGCGTTCCCAGGTCTCCCAGTGTCTGTGTCCTAGTGTCTCAGTGTCCCCTAGTGTACGTGTCATCATGTGTCCCCTAGTGTCTGTGTCCCCTAGTGTCTCAGTGTCCCCATGTGTCCCCTAGTGTCTCAGTGTCCCCATGTGTCCCCTAGTGTCTCAGTGTCCCCATGTGTCCCTGCTGCCTTTCCCCCCATCCCTCACTTACATGAGCTGTAGAGCTGCTGTCTGGACTCTCTGTGCTGTGTAGCTGCTGCCCCACGGATCAGGGAGTAGTAGAGAGAGGCAGGGATATTCTGTAACTTCCTATCCCTGCCTCTCTCCAGAACAGTGACCCCTACTGGCCGGTGCTGGTATTGCAGAGTAATTTCCATTTATTCTGATAAAATTACCTGCATTTGTATTGCCGGTATTACTGAAATCCCGGAATGGCCTGGCAGCCTCAAATACTTTCTGTGTCATTAAAATACCAGTCAGGTGGCAAACCTAAAAGTAGTGTGTAAAAAAAAAAAATATATATATTTTTTTTTTTTTTTTTTACACATGGGCCTATTCCATGGGCCTGGGCCTGGAGCTGCAGCTCCATCAGCCCCTATGTTAATCCATCCCTGATCCCTGTATTGCACCTAGCTCTGAGTATTGCATGGGTATCTCTGTATTATATTCAGTCTGTGTTTATATCCCTGTATTGTACCTAGCTCTGAGTATTTTATGGGTATCTCTGTATTATATTCAGTTTGTGTATTGTGTATATATCCCTGTATTGTACATAGTGTATGGATGTGCCACTTGGGCAGGGATCGCAGTCAGTCACTAAGGAGATTCCATGGAAAGGGAGGAGATGGGGGTATTCTGGGAAGGAGGGGGCACCTACAGACACTGCTTTCCACTGAAGCCATTTACCCTCCCAGGTTGATAATGGCAGCTGGCTGCAATCACATTAACTGGTAATAAAAAATACATATTTACAAACAATTAAGAAGCAGTCAGCCACCCCGTCACACCGCCAGACTAGGCTTTGGGCATCGGATATTGTATCGATATCATTCTTTATTACTGAGGCAGGTATAGAGAATTTTGTGATTAGAATGAGTGAGCATTTGGGATTTGGGAATCCATTACTCCATTACTAGTAATGCTCCTTCCTTAATATTTAATGGCATATGGAATGTGGGAAGGAATTACTGGCCTTTCACCCATCCCCCATACATTAGACAATGATAGAAGAGATGACTTGCTCACTCCTTGTTAATTGTGAAACTTGGGGAGTAAATGGTCATTTTGTTGAGATAAGTCGCACAAAGGATGGGAATAGTAAACACAAACAGTGATTTATAGTAGAATTTTATATACACTATTACCAGGGACAACTAATAAAGAAGCAGTTAGCAATATCCTATAATATAATATAAATGGCTCATTGAGGTTTAGTGAGAGGCTATTACCCTCCGGGAACTACAGGTGAGTTTTGTAGATCCACACAAACTATACGTACAGTAACCCTATTTGCATACTGATTATGACCAACAATAAACATCTTCTGTAATATAACACGCATTGCTTAAATTAAATTAACAAATTCAGTCAATACTTCCTTACCTTTGCGGACAGATCTGAAAGGCTTAAAAATGAACAAAGTAATACTTCTTGAACATTGATCGAAATTAGATAATTTAATGGTGATACAATCGCTGGATTAATTAAACATTCCAGTGCTGTTTTCGTAGCTTTATCAATGATCTAAGGAGTACAAAAAACATACATTTTCTATTAAGAATGACTAAAAAATGACAGAAATGTTCACCTTACCTCACTTGATTGTTAAGATTTTACCCATAAATGTATGATTTTCAGAATAAAAGCAGACAAAAAAAGGATTGTGGATCATATAGCTGCAGTGACATTGAGTCAGTATGTGGGGTGGTATAATGAAGCCATAGTGTAATGAGGCCAGTATGTGGGGTGGTAAGACAGAGTCAGAATGTGGGGCGGTATGACCGAGCCAGTACATGAGGTGGTGTAATGGAGCCAGTATGCAGGATGGTATGACGGAGTCAAGATGTGGGGTGGTATGACAGAGCCAGTATGTGGGGTGGTATGACAGAGCCAGTATGTGGGGTGGTAGAACTGAGCCAGCCAGTATGTGGGGTGGAATGACAAAGTCAGGATGTGGGGCGGTATGACGGAGCCAGTATGTGGGGTGGTATAAAAGTCAGTTTGCGGTATAAACTATAGTATGGAGGAATGTTGAGATGTAAGAATCTCAGGGTTATTTACTAAAGTGAGAATTCACAGTAAATTTACTGTGAGGGCGCACCGCCCGGGCGCAGCCTGAGGAGAGGGGCTGACAGGAGGGAAGCGCTCAGCACTCCCTCCTGTCACTCCCTCACTGTAGCGTGGCCGAGCCCTCTATTGGTCCGCGGGTACAGGGAGCATCTGTCTCCTGTACCCGGCCGGACTAACAGGAAGTAGAAATGGCGGGGGTGGAATTGGGAAGGGGGTTGGCAGGGAAGGGGGGGAATTGACTGGGAAGGGAATTGACAGGGAAGGGGGTTGACAGGGAAGGGGAGGTTGACAGGGGAGGGAATAAATTGACAGGGGAGGGTGGGGGGAATAAATTGACAGGGGAGGGGGGAATAAATTGAAGAAAGGGAGGGTGGGGGAATAAATTGAAAGGGGGGGAATACATTGAAATGGAGGGTAGGGAATAAATTGAAAGGGGGGGGGGAATAAATTGAAAGGGGGGGGGATAAATTGACAGGGAGGGGGGGATAAATTGACAGGGGGGGATAAATTGACAGGGAGGGTGGGGGGAATAAATTGACAGGGAGAGTGGGGGGAATAAATTGAAAGGGTGGGTGTAACAGACCGTTTCAGCACACAAGGGGTTAAAACCGTTTAGGCGATCTTCCCCTTCCAGAGATGCAGGCACAGCTACTGTAGAACACCAAACTCCCGAACCGCATGTAAGGGAATGCTCCAAACTCCCGAACGGCATACAATATAGCACTCCAAACTCACAAACTGGAACCATACGAATAGCTGCTAGCAGACGAATAGGAAAAGCACCCAAGCGGCTTACACTCCTAGCAATCAGTCTCTATCAGCATTCAGTAAATCCCCCCAAAGACGAGACAAGGCTCCGTGTTGGGGGTCAAGCAGTGGTCTGTTTAATGAGGGCTACCTGCCCAGTATTTATGCAGGTCTCCCACCTGGTGGACACTCCCCTAGGGGACCAAATGGGAGACTGTAACAAAGGACAGACAAGTATCCATTTAGGACACACAGTTACAATATATTCCCACAATGCATCCTGGCTTCCTCCCCTCTGCCCTGGAGATAATTGAGAAGTAATTCAATTATCTCCCAGGACAAAGGCAAATCGCCATTATGCACGTGGGGATACCAATACAGGAATTACTGTTAAAATCCCCCATGTTGGAATGGTTACAGTAAAGATATACATTTAACATATCCCCAGATAGCTCAGGTCTGAGCGCACATTATTAAGTGAATGGCGCTCAGACTACACGAATACAGTTCAATCGCCATGGAGCCAAAGTGTTCTCAAAGTCAGTTCTCATACGAATGAGCTCCATGGGATTCCTATCTGGGGTATGGTGTAGTCAGGTACAACTACCGAATACAGGGCCGTTCGTGCACGTCCACCGAACAAGAAGGGAGGTCGGCGGCTTCAGCAGTGTTCGTGCCAAACTGTGTCCGTTTTTAGTTCCATGAGTTAGGCGTCGAACACCGCTGTGCGTTCGCGTGTTTAAAATGTCCGCGACCTCGTGTTCGGTATACGAATGGCGGCCACCCAGTATTCGTAAATTAAGCTGTGGTTAACCGCAGCTTCTGGGAGGCTAATTGCCGGCACACTCCAGCTCCCAGGTGGTCTAATCATTCGTGCGGCTGTTCAGTAGATTGAATCTACCAAACACCGGGCAGAAAAGCACGAATAAGTCTTTTCTGCAGGGGAAAAGAGATCTTTTAACATTGGGCCATAATCCAAAGGTAGCAGACGAGCAACCAGGCTTCTCCAATGCAATGTGGCGAGATTGCTCTCATCACAGAGGGAATACATTGAAAGGGAGGGGAAAGAAATTCACAGGGTGGGTGGGAACAAATTGACAGGGAGGGGAATTGATGGGGAGGGAGGGGGAATGAGAGTGGAGAGGGGAGAAGAGAGTGACAACGGGGGATAAGAGAGGGACAAGCAGGGGAGAAGAGAGTGACAAGGGAGGGGGAGAAGAGAGGGACAAGCAGAGGAGAAGAGAGTGACAAGGGAGGGGGGGAGAAGAGAGGGACAAGGGAGAGAAGAGAGTGACAAGGGAGAGAGAGGGGGGAGAAGAGATTGACATCCATCACACATACACACACACACACACACACAAGGCACCCCTTACACACAAAGACAATACACCCCTTGCACACAGAAAACACAATGCATTACACACACAGACACACACACAAGCAATGCAACCCTTACACACAATGGATCTCTTACACACACAGAAACACACAATGCATTCCTTACATACACTCTGGTGTTAAGAAAAACTATGGGACAGTTTGTTCAGAATATTTTTTTTCTGGGTTTCCTCCTCTAAAAACTAGGTGTGTCTTATGGTGTGGTGTGTCTTATGGAGTGGAAAATACGGTAATTTAATATGAATAAAATATAAAAAAATGGGAGAAAATATATATATATTTTTTTAAATTAGTTCTATGTAACATTCTAACTGTGAATGTCATAATACTGTTTGCTTTTACTGCAATAAAATACACATATTTGTATTCAGCAATGTCTCACGTGTAAAACAATACCCCCTATGTACAGGTTTTATGGTGTTTTGGGAAGTTACAGGATCAAACATAGCATGTTACGTTTCAGTTTTTTCACATTGAAATTCGCCAGATTGGTTACGTTGCCTTTGAGACCGTATGGTAGCCCAGGAATGAGAATTACCCCCATGATGACATACCATTTGCAAAAGTAGACAACCCAAGGTATTGTAAATGGGGTATGTCCAGTCTTGTTTAGTAGACACTTGGTCACAAACACTGGCCAAAGGTAGTGTTAATATTTGTTTGTGTGTGAAAAATGCAAAAAACTGATTTGAATGCCAATTTTGGCCAGTGTTTGTGACTAAGTGGCTACTAAAAAGACTGGACATACCCCATTTGCAATACCTTAGGTTTTCTACTATTGCAAATGGTATGCCATCATGGGGGTAATTTTCATTCCTGGGCTACCATATGGTCTCAAATGCAACATAACCAATCTGGCGAATTTCAATGTGAAAAAACTGAAACGCAAGCCTTATATTTGCTTCTGTAACTTTTGAAAACACCATAAAGCCTGTGCAAGAGGGGTACTGTTCTACTTTGGATACAAATATTACTTTGGATACAAATATTAGTGTTTCAAAACAGTAAAACGTATCACAACAATTATATTGTCCGTGTAAGTGCCAATTGTGTGTGAAAAATGCAAAAAAATTCACTTTCACTGACGATATCATCGTTGTAATGCATTTTACTGTTTTGAAACACTAATATTTGTGTTCATCAAAGTCTTTTGAGTACAACAGTACCCCCCATGTACAGGTGTAATGGTGTCTTGTCAAGTTACAGGGTTAAATATAGTGCTAGCAAATTAAATTTCCTGGATTTTCGGCCTGAGTTGTCAGGCAGGTCCCGCAAATTGTAATTAATAAAATGACGTAATTATGTAAAATGATTACATAAATATATACGCAGAATTATTATATATGTATATAATTTTTTTCAATTATTTTTATTTATGTATAGGTATGTATATGGTGATGTATACGTATATACTGATGTGTATATATATATTATTTTGTTCTACTTGTATTTTGATATCTATCTATATATATATCTATATCTATATATATATATAAATATATATTTTCTGTCCTGATGAAAGTTCCCCAGTGGAACTGAAACGTTGACTACTGGAATAAAGATAAGTGTTTGGATTTTTTGCAAAATTCCTGGGAGTGCTGATTTTTTTTTTTTTTGGCTTTATAAATATATATATAAATGAATTTTAAAATACAGTTAGAATGAAATTACACACGTATATATATATTTTTTTAACATATTTACATATTTATTTTATATTATATATAAATATAATTATATATATATATTCTACATGTACTTTAATATCAATATATATATATTCATTTTAAAATACAGTTAGAATGAAATTACACACATATATATATTTTTTACGTATTTACATATTTATTTTATATTATATATAAATATAATTATATATATATATATATATATTTAATCAATATCATTCTACATGTACTTTAGTATTAATATATATATTTTTTAATATATATATATATATATATATATTGAATTTTGTTATATATATATATATATATATATATATATATATATACATTTTAAAATACAGTTAGAATGAAATTACATATATATATTTAACGTATTTACATATTTATATTATATTATTTTATATTATATATAAATATAATTATATATATATATATATTTAATCAATATCATATATATATATATTAATATTAAAATACACTTAGACTGTGTATGTGTGTGTATTATATTATATATATATATATATATATATATATATATATACACACATACATACACACACACGTCGATCATTTGTATAATAAATGTATATATAATTTAATTTTACACTGTTTTAAATGTTTTTTATTTTTTTTTGGACGGCTATGCCATCCATGTGATTGCGAGGTCTACGCAAGGACCTCACGATCACATGGCCCAGGGGGGCCGGAACAGACGGAGGGGGACTCCCTGGGCTGCCAGGTGAGTCCCCGCACCGTGATCGACGGCGAAAGTAGAAAGGTCAGCAGGGACGTGCTATGCCGCCCCCCGGCAATTAGAGCCAAGTCCACAAGGACGGCATAGCACACCCGCAGTCCTCAAGGGGTTAATATAAACGAGGGGACCTAATGTCCCCCTGGTCCCCAGCCATGAGCGGCGGGTGGGGACCCTAAACAAATAAATATTGGGGGGGGACCTAATGTCCCACCCTGGTCCCCACCCATGAGCGGCGTGTGGGGACCCTAGATAAATAAATAATGGGGGGGGGGACCTAATGTACCCCCAAGGTTCCCACCCATGAGCGGCGGGTGGGGACCACAAATAATAAAGTGACAAGGGGTCCCAAAGCCCCTAGTCACTGCCCCCAATAGAAATACCCTACCTACCCCCCCTTAAGAGCATAAAAGGGCCGTCTACTGAGCGAGTTATGTACATGTCCGTGTCCATGTGAGTTGGTAAAACCACCAGTGTTTATGCTCTTTTATTTCATCTATTTTGTTTGGTGTATTATTGAGGGGTAAGCTAGTTATGTATGTTTATAATTTTTTCCTTTAAAAGCACCCCACTTTAATATAGACGTATTACCTATATATCACTTTTTTATAGTTCTGTTTCAGCTGATTGTGTGTAACTAAGCTGCTGGGGGTAGATAATCCTAGGTTCTATCAGTCTTAGAATACCTTTGTTCAATACTTACTCTATGTAGCCAGGACTTTAGTGTAATGAGGATATGATCCTATCTCCCTCAGTATAGTATAACAACTGATCCCTTTTGGTGTTCCCTAGAAGCAGGGGTAAGCAACCTTCGGCACTCCAGATGTTGTGGACTACATCTCCCATAATACTCTTACAGTTATAATGCTGGAAAAACAGCAGGGGAGATGTAGACCATGTAGCGGAGTGCTCGTCTTTCACAGACTATCTCCGCTGGTAATCCAAATAAGGCTCAGAAACAAGTAATAAAACCCACGAGAATAATATCCACGGTTAGTAAAGTAATCCAAAAGTATCCCTTACGTTTCCCAATGACTGGACGACAGAATCAGGAGCAGAACTGAGGTTTAATTTCATATCCCTGCTTTTAAGCAATTCTCCCATGCAAGGGAGACACCCACAGTAATTATTACAGTAACCAATAAAATACATGTTACCTTCCACACATCTCCTCCCCTAAGCATGACATATAATCCAATTAATCCATGTACATTATTTCTCCAGTTCCTGGATGTAACCCAAATACATAAGTTACACCTCTAAATAGAGTATCCCCTGATAGTCCTGATCTGGGTGAGTAACATACTCAATAATCACCCAGATCGGACCAGGGGTTCTGGAGTTAAGGAGGAGTAAAGTTTTGACCGACCGCACAGGTAACAGTAGCCAAAAATAGTTCCATAAGTTTTGGCCTTGCGGTCGGTCTCTGTTCGTGGGTATAAACGGATGAAAATACCGAATGAAGTAGCTGTTGCCTTCATGTGAATCCCCTTGTTCGTATGAGTCTTTCTACCGAACGGCGGCTCGTTCGGTTGTTTCAGCATGAAGATATGGAAGTCTGGAGGCCTTAGCGGTGTTTGCTTAGTCGAGTGTCCGATTTGAGTTCCAGACACTCGACGACCAAACACCGCTGTTCGGGAGTTAAGATGGCCGCCGCCACGTGTTCGTATCCCGAACAGTGGCCACCCATAGAACAAAGTACGGATTGCCAATTATGGGTTTGCAACATTGTTGCGAACGGTAATGAGAGGCACACTTATCCCTGGGAGTGGTCTGATTGTTCGGTAGTTTCACTTCTATAATAAACGGAGTGATTTTACCAAACAATCAGACGAATGCTGCATACAATGTGAATACATAGAATAGCAATACACAAAAGCATTTTAAAACACACAAATTTTGAGGACAACCTTAATGCAATCCGCTACAGACCACATCTGGTGTCCGACCCCCGCCTTTGAGGGATACATTTATTGTAAATATTGGATAATTGGATAATTTCCTTTCATGACGGGATCACTTTATATGTGAAGTTTCATTTAATACTGAATTGATCTGAAATTTTTGCTTAAAGGACCACTATAGTGCCAGGAAATGAGTGCCCTCACCCTCACGGACCCCCTCCCGCCGGCTCTGGAAAGGGGAAAGGGGTAAAAACTTACCTTTTTCCAGTGCTGGGCGGGGAGCTCTCCTCTTCCGATCCTCCTCCTCTCCGCCCATTCGGCTGAATGTGCACGCGTGGCAAGAGCTGCGCGCGCATTCAGCCGGTCGCATAGGAAAGCATTTACAATGCTTTCCTATGGACGCTTGCGTGCTCTCACTGTGATTTTTACAGTGAGAATCACGCAAGCGCCTCTAGTGGCTGTCAATGAGACAGCCGCTAGAGACTTTGGAGGAAGGATTAACCCATTTATAAACATAGCAGTTTCTCTGAAACTGCTATGTTTATAAAAAAAAATGGGTTAACCTTAGCTGGACCTGGCACCCAGACCACTTCATTAAGCTGAAGTGGTCTGGGTGCCTAGAGTGGTCCTTTAACAAAAAAATATACTTAGTAAGTCATAACTTAGAATTCGAATTCACACACAGTGTATCATTGCAATTTGTATTCTTTGTATGAACTTTTTAAAAGTATCACAACTAAACAAATAGACTTACATTTGATGTAATTTGCAAAACTCCTTCAACTAATTTAACGTCTGTTGCTACAACTTGAACAATTGCATCTTCAGTAGTCGAAGTGGGCTCTGTGAAATACCAGACAGACAGCAGACTCGTTAGATAAAGTCATATATGTAAAATATGGATTACACGAATACACTAATGTGCACTTAATGGGATATTTTTTGTCTGTAATGAATATTTTCATGAAGCTTTAGTGCACAAATGTCTGACCGAGAGGAATTTAATCTTGTTATGTCCCAAAGTGTGGGCTTGTGCCTAAATAGTGAATGTAATGCTGCAAGTGTTGACTCAAAAGGTTATACACACAGGCTTGAGGTCTCAAATCCAGAAGCCGTGTATTACTTTCTGTATACAGGATGAGTCAACACAAGGCTTTCTTACTATACACACAATACAGCTTCCTAATCTATACCATTGTCTCAGTGTCTTCCCAAGTTGGCTGCTGCTTCCAGATGACCAGTATAACTGCACTGCAGCAGTAAAAAAAAAAGTAGGGGCATAATGCCACTTCCAACCTGGAAGTCTAATCTAATCATCACAAATCTTTATTATTTTTTTGCAAATGTGTCAAAGTACAATAAACGTGTATTGTGAAAGAGAATTTAAAATGTATTTCTACATACTTTGAACATCACGTAACTTCTGATTGGTAACTTCCATAACACCATCTATGACCGTCTCAAGCTGTAAAAACAAAAGAGAATATTCTGAAAATGATACTATATGCAGTATTCTAGATATTTAAATTTAATTTATTGAATTAACTCCTAGAGGCAAATGAACACGTTCTGATCCAAACAAACCCTTGAGATGAGAGGGAATTTCGATACATCTAGTTTAAAGGACACGACCATATAGAAGTCCATTTCAGAGAACTAACATAAAATACAAGAAGGTTGAATACAGGGATCTTCACGTTATAAATCTTAACCCCCTAAGGCAAACGTACGGGTTGTGTCTGCACGGAGCAATAGGAAGTTAATGAATTGTAAGACTTAAGTCAGCAGAAAGACTAACTTATTGTTTAATCAATTTTAGGGACAAAATTTTTTTTTTGATATCTGATAACTCCATATAAGTATATATAACATAATTTACCTAAGGGACAGGAACATCTAAGTTAAGGATTTCCAGACTCTAAATTTTAACCTTCTAATAAAACCCCTCAAGGGGTTATGTAAGTCTCAGTAAAAAAAATAAACTAGTACACCGAAGGGTTATAAATTGATGTGATGTTTATTAATAATTATTATTGGGTTATTAAAAAATTAGTTTCTATTCGAAAAAGTATTACAGCTCTGATCAGGCAGACAGACTTGTTACGTCTACACGGAACAATAGGAATATAATAAATTAGAAGAACTAAGCGAAAATTGAGACATATACAAACTGTAACATGAACATGTACTGATACTTTGTTTCTGTTTTTTTTGTTGTATGTGTGTAAGGAACAATACAGACTTTGATAAAACTATTTACATGGACATATATAGGAAGAACAGGAATATTGTATCGACAAGCGGGCTACAAACAAATCTATTTGGATTCACATCTATATCACTACTTTCTACTAAAGAGTCGCAGAAGGATCTTACGGAACCAAAAAGTAAGAGGGTGAAAACACTCCTGGCTCACTCCCGGTAACGGTATGAGAGGGAGGCATGGACCGCACATGCAGCACCAGAGGGTGGTACTGGCGTGTGACGGTACGCAAGCATTAAAGGGACACTATAGTCACCTGAACAGCTTCAGCTTAATGAAGCAGTTTTCGTGTATAGAACATGCCCCTGCAGCCTCACTGCTCAATCCTCTGCCATTTAGGAGTTAAATCCCTTTGTTTATGAACCCTAGTCACACCTCCTTGCATGTGACTTGCACAGCCTTCCATAAACACTTCCTGTAAAGAGAGCCCTATTTAGGCTTTCTTTATTGCAAGTTCTGTTTAATTAAGATTTTCTTATCCCCTGCTATGTTAATAGCTTGCTAGACCCTGCAAGAGCCTCCTGTATGTGATTAAAGTTCAATTTAGAGATTGAGATACAATTATTTAAGGTAAATTACATCTGTTTGAAAGTGAAACCAGTTTTTGTTTTTTTCATGCAGGCTCTATCAATCATAGCCAGGGGAGGTGTGGCTAGGGCTGCATAAACAGAAACAAAGTGATTTAATTCCTAAATGACAGTGAATTGAGCAGTGAAATTGCATGGGAATGATCTATACACTAAAACTGCTTTATTTAGCTAAATTAATTTAGGTGAATATAGTGTTCCTTTAACTCCTAGCCCACCCTTTTTTTAACGATATTTAAGTAAGAACAGGGAACCTCAGAGTATTGAACTCATTTACCCAGTTGAAGAAGCCACGCTAATAGTGGCGAAACGCATTCCGGATTTGGCATATTACATTTTTTAATTTGTTATTTTTAAAGTGTGTTAATAAATGTAAAGATTTTATTCATCGATCCTGGTTCCCAGCGTTCTTAACTACCACAGAAGGGAGTGCAGTCCCTAATCTGCACAATACCTCAGAATTGAGTCACTGTTGTATGACTCCAGACTTAACAAGATACATATCGGAAGTAGGGGTGGGTCGCCGTAACGGACCCGGAGGCAATTCAAACCAGAGCTAGGTCTATAGCTCTTTGTTTGTGAGTGTATATCTACCATAATTTAAAAGAATTACCTTGTTGTGTATGACCAATCATATGTGCAATTATTTCTTTGGAGATATCTTTACATATTGAACATATCAGAAAAGTCTAATTTTCAACCGAACTATAAAAAAAAGGTGATGTATTTACTTATTTCCTATATTACCTAAGCGCTACATTCTCTTTTGGTTTTGCATTTTGTATTAGTGATACTGTGAGGGGGTTACTTGAATGTACAGCAGCTAATAGGACTTACTTATTGATACATTAAGAAATTGAAACAAATAAGCGCTGGTCCCTACCCACATTTTTCTCACATGCTGCATTGGCCAATCAAAGCCATGCCATTAGTATGCATGGCTGTGATGGCTTCTAAGGGCACACGAGTAAAACGCTTGTTGATTGGCTTCCCTGCAGTCTTTGAAAACGCGCCAATAAATCGGCGAACACCGAACTCCAACCCGAACATACAGTGATATGTCTGTGTTCGGGTCCCGGGTCCAAAAACCGTAATGTTCGGTACGAACCGTAATGTTCGGTTGCTCAACTCTACTCTCTAACACATGGGAGACTTTATGCTAAAATAGTAATAGTAGATGTACTCTGGTTGTAGAACGTCATTAAACTGGTATATTATAAAAAGGTTTTTTTTTCTATTTCTTCCTGTGTTTGCGAACATACCATCTGACTTTATTTACCATACAAAATCTTGGGACAACATCCCTAATCCATTTAAAACTATTCCCAGTAGATCTTGTTGTTACAAACTGCCTTTTTTAACTGGTTCTCTATGTGACAAACTGCCCTGTTCCCCTGGCTTATGGAGAAGCCTGATTGCCAGCCTCCTGCCTCACAACTATGGCCCTTTAAAAAGTCTGTTTGGGCTTTGTGATGAAGTGCCCTTTGCCACTTGTGCCTGGAGAGGACTAATTGCCAGCCTCTTGCCATGTAAGTATGGTCCCTGGGAGACTTTGCCAGTTAAAAACACTATGTGGACTTATTGGTGTTTAAAAGACTGTTCTGGCCCTTTAAATGAAACTGGCTGCTTTGTCCCTCCTCAACCTCTCATCAGCCCATGCTAAACTTTAGCCCCATGGAGATTTTATTCTGTTCGTGAGATCTGAGCACTGTTTGGATATATTGAGATCCAAGCTATCTGGGGATAGGTTGAATGTGGGGGTTCTGTTCAATATAATAGGAATTATATATTTTTATGTATTTTTACTGTTGTTGTAAATAGAGAAATTTTCTGTACCTGGAGATAATTGGCTTACCACACCCAGTTAAGCCAATTATCTCCAGGATAGAGGAGAAGATAGACCGGCTGCACAGCCTAACTCTGTGGAACTGGTTTGGGCCGGAAAGCCATGCTTGCAGTCGGTCAAATAGGACTTCCACCTATCTTTTGAACCACCAGATCAAATTGTATGATTTTGACATATGTTTGTATACTGCCTACACTGGTTCAGAATATGTAAGTTTTATGTGAATGCGATATATACTTTTAAAGTTATGAATATTGTGTAAAACTGTATAGGGGAGGATTTTGCTGGAATGAATGGGAGTGTTTAACTGTATTGTACGTGTTTGATTGACTGTACCACAAGACTATGTGGGTGGTACTTTGTGTGTAAAACCTGCATAAAAGAAAGGCCTTTGGGGCTTATTAAACAGAACTTCTTGACCCTCTAACTCGCAGCCTCGACTCGTGTTTGTAGAGGACAGCAATGCATGCTCCCTTAGCTACTGAGCTCTTGTAAGAGCTCTTGTTCCTGATCCTGCTTCGCTCTACAGAAGGAAGAGGTTCACCCACTGGAACCTGGAGCCTGGTCATAGGTCCAGGGTGGATAGCAGACAGCGAGATACCGGCCCAGCAGCGGCGGTTCATGGAGTCTGCAGTGCTTATGGTGTCTACGGTGCTGATGCTCCTTTGGTGAGCGCTAGGAGCATCCTTTCTACGGTCCAACTTTCAGCCAGCCTGGAGGCAATGGTAACACTTGTCATCTTGCCAGCTGTTTTATCATTATTGGACTTGTCTCAGGGGCCAAAGTCATGAAAACTCTCAGAACTTAGTATTTTGCATTGGGAGTGCAGTGGGACCTCGGTTTACAAACGCCTCAGTTGACATAATTTTCAGTTTACAAATGAAAATCCATTGAAAATAATGCCTCGGTTTACAATTTTTTTTCGCAATACAAAGCAAGTTTCCCCAGGATGCATTGCACCTAGGAGGATTATAGCACCGGCCCCTGCATGCTGGAGCCTGTGAGTAGCACGTGGCGTCGAGTGTGGAGGTGTTGTAGCGGCTTTTGCATCGAGTTTTGGAGCCATTCTCGAAATTGTTTGCAGTTGTTCTGGGACTTTTTGGGTGCATTTCTCAAGATGTGGAAAGGTAGGGAACTGAGTTTTGTCATTTGCATGCCTTTTATTGTGTGTTCTGCATCGTGGGTTGGTTTCCATGTCAGCTCATTTTGACTTTTTTTCTGACCTCCAGAAAGGATGAATTGGTTTTCAATGCATTCCTATGGGAAACCGCGTTTCGGTTTATAAATTTTTCGCAATAAGAAACGTCCTGGAGAACACATTAAATTCTCCCACTGTATTTTACAGTCCCACTGTATTTTACAATCACACTGTATTTTCATGTGATAAGCTATTTAAAAGGATGCTCTGCTGCCCAAAAAAAATAAAAAAAAATAATTGTTTTGTAGATATATTCCAAATGAAAACATGCATGCATTTAATTCATTGGATGAATAGTAAAATAAAAAAGATTTTAATGCTTCTTTTATAACAAAATTTAACAGTATTGGCCATTTCTGATACAAGAGCAATATTTAAAAAACTATTCTACCCCAAAATTCACAAATTATATATAAAAAGATGCAAATTTTAAAATCTATTTTAGCGCCCAGTATTCTACCACAAATGAAACCTACAGTGAATGAATTTGTTTTTAAAATTACTAACATATTTTTATTTTATTTTATAGAAGCAGAGAGACTGCCTGATAGCCCATTCAGTCCCCCTGCAGGCAGATGCCTGTATGCCTATTGCAGCCATGTGACCGCTCTGTCAGGCAGTCCCCCTAGACCGGGAGCAACACCAATTGCCTGCGGGGGAACGGTGGCGATCGGGTAAGTATTAATGAATGCCGCAGACGTACTAGATAGGACAGAAGGGGTTAATGAATCACTATAGATTGTTCCGCATGATTTTAGAAGTATTTGTCCTGGTACTTGAGTTTGCTGGCGTATATTAACAATATAGTTATTTGCGTTCCAAGCTGGATGCATGTGCGTGCGTGAGGGGACATGGAAGCGCAATGACGCCAGGTGTCACGCTCCGTGTGGTTCTGCGCATACACCAGTGATAGGCTCAAAGTATAACGTTTAAATGCCGGATCACAAGATGGTACACAGATATTGAAAAAGTCTGATAGGACGAAACGCGTCGAGCCTAACGATTACCCTGACAAGACTGCAATATTGAAGCCTTTCCCACAGGATTAATAGAAATTTGATTTCTACGTATAGAATATGCAGGAAAAAGAGGGAATAGACCATAAATGGAAAGCTCTAAAACTGGAAAAATAGGGATTCACCGAACACCTATAGAGACAGTGTATATCAAGTGTGTTAACTATAAAAATAGCAACAAATATCCAGGTGCTTTCTAAGGAAGTGGATGTAGTAATAAAACTTTGTTTAAGAATACACACTAAAATTTAGTGGATATAAAATACACATAAATATCTTAGGTGTTCAATATGAGAGATAATTTGTATGGCATAAGAATCCTTAACCCTGGAAGGAGAAAATATCCCAGGGCAAATTTGACCCCTTGCCAGATATTCTACTTTTATAAGGATAAAAGAAAGTAGCAAAAATGCTTAAAATCGTTATGTCTGTATCAATTATTAACAGGCAATAACAATATATGTTATATTCTAGCAGAGCCAGTACATGGAATTGGTTGCTATAAGCAATAAAAAAAATCGCTGAAAACAACTGAGAGTTAAAAAACAAATTTATTCCAAAACATTTAAAATATATAATTAAAAATGAGTCCACCATATGTGTACCAGTCAATTGAGGGTAAAAGATACAAAGTAACCTTATTACCAGGCACGGATGGATCTAGATGTTGTTCGTGATCCTATCTTTCAAAATCTGATCGCCGGTGAGGGCGGCGTGCATACCACAGTGCGTTCCACCTCGAGCCTCACTTCAGGGGATCAGCACTGTTTGCCAGATGATGTGGATAGGATACCTGGAATCCAAGGTGATGTATCAGTTCTTGTGTCGATAGCCTGGCTGGCTATTGCTGTGTGGACGTTCTATGGAGCTGTCTGACGCGTTTCGTAGGGGGTAGCCCTACTTCCTCAGAGACGTATAGGTTCACCTCCACATGGGTATGTTTATATATCCCTCAGTTGTTTAATCAATTAATCAATATTAATGAGTTAATTTCAGTAAAATATGTAATACATCTTTGATAATGTTGTTTAAAATACAGAAATACAATTATAACGTTGGGCCTTCACACTTTATATAATAAAAACTTTTATAAGATATTTGTCTCTTGTCATAATTTCTATACACCTACCATGTTCTGTATAATAAAACAGTAGATCCTAACATTAGATAGTCTGGTGACTACGATGATTTTGCACATGAATAATAACAACTTTCACTTATGACCGGCAAAACTAATTGAAACTGCATCTATGTTACATCGTGATTTCACATAATCTATTTATTAAAAGGTTTTACATTGTAGATATAGAACACTTTACTCAAACTTCACTTTAGAAATATATCACTTTACTCAGATAGTCACATTATAGACCTCCAAAAATGAAACATAATTAATTTAGATTGCATCGATGTTACATCTTAATTTTACATAATCTGTTTTCTACAAGGTATTGTAAATGTGTATCATTTTCTCAAACTCGGTCAGCCGCATTGTTTACCTCTGATAATAAGTGAAATAAGATAATATTATTTGAATATGGACTCGATAACTTATTATAAATAACATGATTTTAAAATTATCACTTCATATCACAAGATTGTTACCAGATTGCATCCAGAAAATCTAGTCCTTTATAGACTGGTCGCAACTACTGGTATCCTGAAGTAAATTTACAGCTGTACACGTCATGGGGACTAAGCCCATGTGGCTGAAATGCCTATTTACACATTAAGGAGTATTTCTTATTGCGCCACTAATTTTGTGAGTGTATTTTTAATGCTTTTCTTTGAACCTTGTTATCCTTAAATGCTACACTACAAGTTACCTTATTTTATTTCTTTTCATGTTATCCCCTACCATCTGAGTGGTAACTAAAATCACACATCCGTGAAAGTGGTGCCCTACACTGTATGTTTTTTTTTTTTAACTATACAGAACTTGTTTTTGTTGATCGTTGGGATTTGGGGAGTGATCCTTTTTGCTAGTGGCTTGCCTGCACTTCGATTTTTTGCACTTTTTCCACCTACTTGATTGTATTGTGTTATAAAAAAGAGGGGCCTTATGACAAATACATGTAGCTAACTGAGAAGAAGAGATAGAAACATAATAATAATAATGTCCAAAAATATATACATATGCATCCAAAAAAATAGATTTATATACATCAAAAAATATATAAAAATATATAAAATTAAGGAAAAAAT